AGTGACAGCTCACGTCCTGACGTCCTGTGCACGATGCTCCCAGCTGCCTGGCACTTGAGCACTCCACACACGCTGAGCCATTTAACTGGCATAGCAGTTCTGGGAGGGAGCTACCATTGTCATCCCCCCCATTCATTTACAGATGAGGAAACTGAGGCACAGAGACCATGCAGTTTGCAGGTGGCAGAGCTAAGGTTTGGCCTCAGAGTCAGTGTGGAGTGGTGCCCCAGGAGGCTGTGGGGGGAGGGTACCCAGAGCAAGGACACCAGGACAGAGGCTGGGTAGGGCATTCCCCAGTTGTCAGCCGGCCCTCTTGAGCCACCTCCCAGCCCATCTCCCTGCCCTGTGCACCTCGTGGGGACCGCAGCCCATGGACGCCCCCGCCCGGCAGGTGGAACGAGGTGGTCTCTGCCACTTCTACAGTGTCTGCTGCTGGTCTCCCCTGCCCCCAGGCAGCCCTCGCTCACGGCCTGCACTAATAGCCCAGCTGCCGGGGCAGCCCTTCTGCCGTTATCTCAGGCAGCTAATGTGTTTTTATATGACTCCAGCTTATCTTCATGTTAGATGATAAACCTACAAGGGCAGGAGCTGGGCCGGGTGCCCAGGATGCTCCACGGGCAGGATTTGTAGGCCCCAGGGGCAGGCCCAGCCGTGGTGTCCCTGGAGACACCATTCCTGCAGATCTGGGCCTGGAATCTGCTGTTTCTGCCCCATTTCTCATCACCAGGCACTGACAAATGGCCTGCTCCCCACCCCACCCCGACACTGCAGTGACTCCAGCCACCTCTTTATTCACATCACAGACTCTCCCAGGTTACTTAAGGGTTCTCATTTATGCCTGGGTGCACAGCACAGGATACCTGAGTCTCGCTCAAGAGAAATTTATAGACAAGAGTGTTAGAGAAATGGCCGGCCGTGCAGAAGGAAGCATCAAGGGTGTCAGGACGGGAGGTTGGCTGGCTGGGACTCGGGCAGACCCTGACCCTCCCTCTGCCCAGGAGGAAGCTGTGCTGCTGGGGGAGGTGGTGGGCACTGACCCAGGAGCCTCCTTGGGGTGCGCCATGCTCATGCAGCTTGTGCTGGCCACAGGTTTATTGAAGGAACAGGTGGAGAGGGCTGCTGGGGGCAGCCACACTCTTACCTGTCAGGCTGTCTGCTGTCCTCTGATGGATGGCCTCTTCACTTCTAGAAGTTCTGTTTCAGCTCTTTATAAAGTCTGCCTGTTCTTTTTTCATACTGTCCTTTTAGGCATTGATTATTTTAGTATTTTATGTGTGTTTAAAGTTGCTGCCTGGGCTGGGCAGGTTCGATGGCTCCCGCTTGTAATCCCAGCACTCTGGGAGGCCCATGCAGGAGGATCGCCTGAGTTCAGGAGTTTGAGACCGGCCTGAGCAAGAGCAAGACCCAGTCTCTACTAAAAATAGAAAAGCTAGCCAGATATTGTGGTGGGCATGTACGTGGGAGGCTGAGGCAGGAGGATTGCTTGAGACCAAGAGTTTGAGGTTGCTGTGAGCTATGATGCCAGGGCACTTTAGTCAGGGGCAACAGAGTGAGACTCTTGTCTCAAAAAAACCTAAAGTTGATACCTGCTAATTCTGTTCCCAGAAGTTCTTGGGGATCTCAGCCCACCCACCATATGTTGTATCTGCCAGCTCTGATGAACTGTTTTCTCTTGTGTTTTATCGTCTTGGATGTGTGTGTGGAGGGGGGTGTAGCGTGTTTTGGGGGGAGTGTGTGGCGTGTGCGCATAGATCCTGCCTAGCCCGGGGGGCGGGGATGGCTGTCCAGTTTGGCTTTGGGTCACCTCCCACTAAGTACACCAGGCATCACAGTCAGGGACCAAGTGTTTTGTTCTTTCCCTGGCTTGGGAATTTCCACACATGTGGGTAGTTTGCATTTGAACTTGAAACCCGTGGAGGACAGACCTACACCCATGAATTCCAAGTCAGTGTTTTGACTTTCGCCCAGAGCCCAGGCAAGCCTCCTGGTGGCCACTTTTGTTGCTGGTGAATTTGGGCTGCAGGTGCGTCCCTGCCCAGGTCCAGCTTTGTAAACACAGGGCAGCACCTCTGTTCCAGCCCCGCCTCCCATGTGCCCATAGCCTGTCACTGTCCCCACGTGGAAAGTAAAGTAAAGCAGAGCTCTCAGTCCCCCAGACAGTGGTGTGTCCCTTTCTGGCCTCACTTTCCTCCCCTCCTTGGGAACTTGGCTTTGCATTTTGTATATCATCTCTGAGTGCTGCATGTGGGAAGGTTTCTGGCTAAACGCTCAGCCATCGTCATTCTTATGGTGGTTCCAGAAGGGCCACGTTAGCCTCCAGTGAAATTTGGCCACAGACTTGGGTATATTAGCAGCAGCCAGCCCACTCCAGGGCGGCGAGTCACCTGGACCCTCCTCTGCCTCACAGTTGGCTGTGTTTCCCATGAGTGCTGAGTGACCTGCTGTCGCTGCCTTGATGTGGTGAGCCCTGGGCAGGAGTTCAGCCCGCGGCATGTGTGGCAGCCTGTCCTCCAGTCTGTGCTCACCCCTGGCCACCCAGCCCTGCCTGCTGAGCATTGCCCAAGAAGTTTGGGGCCCTCACACTGCCTGCTTATTGAGCATGCAGCCCCAATTTGGGGCATCACTCCTTAAAGATCAAAAATATATCAGACCCCCTGAGCCCCACCCCGGCTGCCCGAGAAGTTGGGCGTCTTTGTGCATTTGTAGCCCAACCCCGAAGTCTGCAGGAAACATGGGCTCGTAGCGTCCACCTGTTTACTGCACCAAAAGCTCCTGTGTGTCCTCAAGTCATGTCAGAAATGTTAGTTAAAAATAAAGTTTGGTACCGAATTCCAGCACAAACCTCAGGCTCTTTGGGGCTAGAATGAGCTTTCAGCACATGGGGCTTCTCCTTCCCTTCTGGCTCTTTCTTAGGGAACCATGTGTGAAATTGTCAGTGTGGCTGCATAGCTGACCACTGTGAGGCTGCAGGTTGCAGGTGAGAACTGGGTCAGCCTGGCTTAGTGTGGTGCTTCTGTGAGTTGTGCCTTCTTCTCAAAATTATTATTTTACTCCTTAAACAGAAGCAAGGGCATGTGAGGAGGCTGCTGCACTGAGTGGGTTGCGTTCGGGAAGGTGCTGTGGGTGTGGGCCCGGACCCCGTGTCCTCAGGCTGCTGCCTCCCCTTCCTCATGGAATTTGCATGTTTGTCGTGCCTCTCCCTGTCCGTTCGGAAGCTGGCTGGTCCCAGTGCAGCCTGTAGTTGTCTGCATGTCACCTGCCGCCACAGAGACCCACTGTCTCTATCACCTTGAGAATGGCCATGTGGCCCCAAGATTTGCTTCTGTCTGAGCAGGACCTCGTCTGCCAGAGTGAAGGGGGCACCCCAGGTCTGTGGCATGGCTCGGACCTCTCAGGGTGCGTGGGAGTGCTGTGCCTCCAGGCAGGGAGGCGAGGCCGCGTGGGTCAGCTCCCAGGGCTGCCGTTGTGTGGCCTCGTGCACAAGGTCTGCTGCCTGGGACATGGCCTCTGCCGCACCTCCTCCGGATTGTCTGCTGTGGCTGCGCTTGGTGATGTGGCTTGTGTTTTGCCCTCCTTGTGGCCAGTTGAGACCAAGGTAGAAGCTGCCAGCAGCTGCCTGTGTGCTCCCACCGAGAATGCAGAGCTGCTGAGGAGGGGAGCACGCGGCTTCCTTGCCTCCCTTGCAGATCCTGAAATCCTTTGTGTTGTGGAGATATTCCACCCGCAGATACCCAATTATCCTGTAAGGTTCATAAGGCAAATCTGAAAGCCGATTGAATGCAGCAGAACCGTTTCTGCATAACAACTACTTAATACCCAATCATAACAATTATACATAATTTGTGTTTACAGTGCCTGGAAAATTAAACTCCTCTATACAGACATTCTCTGAAACAGGCCCAGAATGTGTAGGGCAGGGCTGCCACTTGACGTGCCCACAGGCAGCCTTTGGTACCCTGAGGACAGCTGCCATGGTGGTAGGCAGGTGGTGTTGGGGCCATCTGGGTCTGGGTGGCAGGTGGGCTGAGCAGGGGCAGACAGGCTAGTTATTGCCTGGGTCTGGGCTTGGGCCTCTGGGGGAGGTCAGGCGGCTCCCCACCACAGAGCCTCCACAGGTAGGTCTGCAGAGGCCAAGCGCCTGGCGCACCCAGAAAACCGGGCAGAACCCAGGGAGCAGCTCGGTCCCTTGAAGTTCAAAAGCGTATGCAGTGTGGGTGGGGCAGGGTCTTAGCCACACTGATGGTGTTGATGTGGCTGGCCTGGCCCCCCAGTCCCTGCTGCCATCTCCAGGTCCCGCCATGGGGCCCGGCATGGAGGAGACAGCACCCCACCCCTGTAGCTCCCACTGCTGGGCCTTGGTCAAGGCTGGTCATCCTCTGGCGTGTTTGTCTCATTCCTCCTGGGCTTGCAGAGCTCTCCTGAGGCCCCACTCCCCTGTGGCTGTCTCTGGGCTCAGCCTGGGAGCTGGGGTCTTGTCTTTCACTGCAGACCCCGCTGCTGTCCCAGGTAGGGAGAAGCAGGGCCTGCCCGGCTCCTTGGAGGCTGCCCGCCTCGCCTCCATGCCCAGCAGCTCCTGCTCCCCTTTCTCCGGGTGAGCACAGGACAGGACACCAGAGGGTCTGAGGAGGTCTTGTGTTTCCCCTCCCACCCCTAGCCATGCATCCAGCCTCTCCTGGAGGTGGTAGACACTGGCTGTAGAGTCATGGGGGGGATACTACCTCAAGTCCTGCAAACACACGTGTGGGCTGTCTGTCCTGATGAGCGTGGGAGCATGGCAAGCTCCCGTGACAGGTGGCTGGGCCCCACTGGAGCCCAGCTTCCCCCTCACTCCGCACTGACCTCTGTGGCTGCACACTCACATGGTGGTGGTGGGTGGGGGGAGCTCGGACCTGCATGGAGCTGCAGCAGATTAAGACCTGGGGTTCGTAGGGCTGGTGGGGTGGCAGTGGGGGTGTGTGCACGCCCTGGTGGCCCCCTTCTCATGTGTGTCTCTTCTGCAGCCTCTTCGAGCACTACTGCTACTCCCGGGGCGGCATGCGCCACAGCTCCTACACCTGCATCTGCGGCAGGTAAGTGGGAGCGTGACCGCAGGGCGGGGAGGTGGGGCGGGGAGGCAGCGCTTAGCGAGTGGGCCTTCACCTTCCCCCAGCTTAGATGTGCACTCCCACACCAGTGCCTGGCGACCCAGCCTGGAAGTCACACTTCCCTCTGAGGCTTCAGGGGCCCAAGTTGCCTCTTTTTGTAGAGGCTGGAGCCCCATCAGTCCCCAGAGAGGAGGCACCTGCCACCCCCTCCCTTCTGTCCCCAGTGGGCAGAGGATGGAAGGGGCCATGCTGGCTCAGAGGGCAGTGGTTGTTTGTCCATGTGTGGGTGTGCGTGTACCTGTTGGTGTGGCTGTGTGGGGACCAGCATGGCCGTGGGTGTGCGTGTACCTGTCAGTGTGGCTGTGTGGGGACCAGCATGGCCGTGGGTGTGCGTGTACCTGTCAGTGTGGCTGTGTGGGGACCAGCATGGCCGTGGGTGTGCGTGTACCTGTCGGTGTGGCTGTGTGGGGACCAGCATGGCCGTGGGTGTGTGTGTCACTATCAGTGCATCTGCACGTGGCGTGTTGAGGGGGTTAGGAGCTCCGTGCTCATGTGTGCAGTCTGCGTGTCTTCTGCGCATGGCTGGGTGTGCTTGGAGGCTCACAGGTACCGGGGACTATGACATGGGGTGTTTTGTGGCCGTGTGTGTCACGGTGCACGCTGGGTGTGCACAGCCCTGTGTTAGGCACACGTCCTGACCATACGTAGGCCCTGGTCTCCCAGACTCAACCCACCTGGTCTCCCACTCCCTGCCCAGGCTCTGCCCCTCGGGGCTGGCACCTGCCCAGCCAGGAAGGAGCGGGCAACTCTGCTGACGTGCACGTCCTCGGTACATGAATAATACATGTGAACATCTCAGTCCTTGGAAATGTTCTTCTCTGGTGGATAGAGAGAAAAATCATTATTTCTGCTTTTATGATTCCTGGAGACTCTCAAATGGGGCCATAAATACTATACCCAGGTGGGGTTTTTTTCCCCCTTTGGACAGACTTAAAAGTCCTTTTTTTCTTAAAGGTATCACTCATTAGGGGAGCCCTCTGGAGCAGGAGCATGGGGAACACTGGCTTCCTGCTTTGCTGCTGGGGACCAGGATGCCAGGGTGGCTGCTGAGACACTGAGGGCCTTGCATAGTGGCTCACACCTGTAGTCCAGCACTATGAGGGGCCAAGGGAGGAGGATCCCCTGAGCCCAGGAATTCAGGACCATCCTGAGCAAGAGAAGGACCAAGACCCCATCTCTCAAAAAAGAGAAAAAAGCCCCTCGCCCCTTAGCTGCTAAGAAGGGGAGCTTCCCTCCCGCCCTTCCCTCCTTAGCCCACCTGCTGGGGTGCCCTTCTTCTATTCTTCAGGTGTGCTGCCTACTCCCCAGCTCGGGCAGTGCCTAAGTGGTGCTCCCAGCCAGAAGCCCTGTAGGTGGGCCAAGAGGCTGACTGCTAGCTGTGTGGCTATGGGGTGCCAGGGCCACCACGTTCCCTGGCCCCACCTCAGGCTGTGGGCCTCTGCTGGAGGGTGGCCCGTGCTGCCTGTGGGCAGGGGCATGGGCAGGGGCAGGGGCCTGCTGGTAAGACTTGGCTGTGAGCACCTTCCCTGCTCTTTGCAGTGGCGAGAACTCGGCCGTGCTGCACTATGGACACGCTGGGGCCCCCAACGACCGGACAATCCAGGACGGAGACATGTGGTGAGTGGGGCCAGCCCTCGTGCTCTCGTGCTGCCTGGCCTGGCTCTGTGTGTGAACATCCCAGCTGAGGTTCAGCTCAACCTCAGGGCCTATTGTTGGCCCAGACTTCTCTGCCAAGGTCGTCCACTGCATGGTGCTTTCTGCAAGGCCAACAGCCTATCCCCTGTGGGGAACAGTGAGAAAGGGGCACTAGACAGGGTCCCCTCATGGTTTCCTGTGGGGCTGAGGCATGGTGGGCTCTCTGATGGGGAACTGTCCCCATCCACTGCCAAGGCCACCCTCACCACTCAGGGACACCATACTCACATCCATGTCTTAGCTCTAAGAGGGTAGGGCCCCTCAGTCTGGTGCAGAAAGACCCCAAGGAGCCCCAACATTCTAAAACCTGCCAGCCTCAGCCACAGGGCCCTTTGGCACAAGTAGCCATTTATTCAGGAGGGCACAGGTGGTGTTTGACCCCCCAGTCTGCTTTACTGAGCCCACAGTCCCTTATGGAGGCCCCAACAAGGCTGATGTGGCCAGGTCCTGTGGCCTTCACAGAGCATGCCAGGCCACTCCAGGGCTTGAGAGGGGTCTGGGAGCCCCTGCAGACCTGGCCCCCTGCCACAGGCACTTGGCCCTCTCTGTCCCATCTCTGCACCACCCGCATGTTGGCCAGATAGGTTCACCAAGAGCCACCCAGAGGCTGTGGCCTGGGACTCGGCCACAAGCCACACAGGCTCCGTCTTGGCCTTCAGGCACTTTGCTGTGCTCACCAGCCAGTAGACAGGGACATCCCAGCCCTTTCTTTTCATTTGTTGCTTGTGTACCTGAACCAGGCTCCCTCAGATCCCTGCTTCTGGGCAGTGTCACGTGTCTTCTCAGGCCCCTGTGGTAGCCAGCAGCCCTCCTTGGCTACTCCACTGCCCCCACTTCTCCAACTGGAGTTCCCACGGTGGCTGCTTATGGGCCTGAACCCAGCTTTGCCTCGGCGGGACTCAGCCCTACCGTAGGGAACCATGGGAACCTGTGCTCGAGAGTCACCCGCCAACACCCGGCAAGGGACTGAGTAGGCATGCAGAGACCACAGCTGCCCAGAGACTCCGAGTACTGGGCTGTCATGGCTAGGTGGGTGCTGGGACCCGCTCGATCCCAGGGTGTCCCTGCCTCAGGCATGCAGGCATCGTCACTGGCCACGGTCTCTCTGCTCCCTGGGATGGGCAGTATATGGGATGTGCTGGGATGTGCTAGCTCAGGCCAGAGCCTGTCTCAGCCTTCTGGAAGAAACCAAGCCCCTTGCTTCCCCTCTGAGCCTCAGTTTACTCATCTGTGAATGAAGAGAGCATGAATGTTTCAAGATCACCAGCAGAAGGGATGTGACAGGGACACACTAGTGCTGAGCTGCTGTGCCCTCTTCCCAGGGGCCTGGCCGGCAGGTTGTGGCATACAGAGGGTGATTTACAAAGTGGCCAGAGGCAGGCCAGTAGAATTGCCTGACCATAACCAGGCCCCAGCGGCCATCTCCCCAACCTGCCTGCCCCAGTGACCTCACAGAATCGGGTTCACAGTCCAGGCTGCAGTGAGCCCCACAAATCGTGGGCAAGCATTCACTATCCTCTGGACCTTGGGCTTAGTCGGGCAGTGGTCGTGCCCCACGGTGCCCAGCGCTAGGTGGGTCAGAGAGGGCTCAGCCCCTCTCTGAGAGGCCTGGGGGCCAAGGGCAAGGGCAAACAGTGACCTTGACAGAGTCCTCCCCTCTGGGTCTCTCTGTGAATATTCTCACCCACCCATAACCCTGGTCCCATGAGGTGCCTCACCCCAGTGCGTGGGCAGGCAGCCGAGACACAAGGAGGGTTCCAGGCCCAGGTGTGGAGCCAGAAGGGACTTGGAGAGGAGATTGGCAAACACACTTGGCTCAGCTGGAGAGCAGGGCAAGCAAGCGTGGGAGCCTGCCTCTCCATGCCTTTGTCAATGCTCTTTCACCCTGCAGCCCATTCTGTAGGGAACCGGATAGGACACAGGAGCCCAGGCCCAGGGTGGAAGCAGAGACCTGGCCACAGCAGCAGGTCCCTGCTGGCCTGTGGGTAGCTCTAGCCAGCTGTAGGGCCAGAGCTATAGCGGTGTGGCCATGAGTTTTTATCCTCTGTGAGCTCAGTGCACCCTAAGGAAGTAGCTGCTTCTCCACTCCCCTCTTTACCTGCCAAGAGAGGGTCCTTACCCCCACAAAGGGCTGGCTCCAGTTGTCTTTCTGGGGTGGACCCTAGCAGGAGCAGGGCTCAGTCTGGGTGCCACACACATCAGGCCTCAATGCTAGGCAGATGCTGTGGCCTTGGCCCTCCTGGGCAGCACATGGCACCTGCATCTCCATGCTGCAGCTGTTGAGAGGGGAGTGATTCGAGGAAGCCTGCGGATGTTAATGCCAAGTCCAAATTGGCGATTTTATTTTTCTAGTGCTAACTTTGAAATGTAGCCAGTAGAATAATTATGAGTTTATTATAGTCAATTTATTATGCAGCATTTAGAACAACATGTTTTGTTGATTACCGCTCCTGCCAGATTGCTGGCGGCGTTTATAATCCATTGTTTTATTGAAATTGATCTGCCGAGCGACTACTGTGTTCGGTAAATAATAAATCACACTTTTATCCCAACATAAAAGCTACGATGCTTCATCATAAGGTAGGAAACCAAAATATGAGCCTTATGCGGGATGTTTTTCCCAAATCCGAGCACCTCCCGCAGCTGCACGTGTGTTCCAGGCTCTGGGTCCCAGTCCTTTTGGCTTCAGGGTAAAAATGCCCCACAGATACTTTGAGCTTTACGTAATGGGGTTGTTTGGGGAGTCAGAGCTGGTCCAGAACAGTCAGAATGTGCTGGAGAAGTGGGGGGGCTGTCGGGGGGGCTGCCTTTTCTATCCCTCTCTCCACAGTCCCAGATATGGGCACCACACGTGCACACACATTCACACATGGGGACCCTGAACAAGGCCGTACTGTGTGACAATGCTCAGTTTAACTCTCCCCTCTCCTCAGCAGAGCGGCTACCTCTCAGAGCCTCTGTTTGTTCCATCCGTCATGGAGGGTAACCTGGCACCCAGCTCTGAAATTCAGGGATCATACCTGCAAAGTGCCAGGCATGGTGCCTAGCTCAGCATGGGCCCTTGGCAGGTGACAACAGCAGTGATAGTGTCATCACCGAGCCAGGCAGGCCAGGGCCTGTTCCTTCCTGCATTGTGGGCCCCTAAGGCCCACCGTCCAGCAGCTACAGCTCCTGAGTTGCATGGCTTTCCCATCCTGCATTTTCTACCCCCAAATTGTCCTCTGTGACACATGTGCCAGGCAGGGCTGGAGGTCGGCCAGACCCCCCTTCCACTTCTCTGTCCCTGTGGTGCCAGGAGCTTCCCTGGAGCTAGGCCTTGGCTGCTGTGAGCCGCGGTCATAGCCACGATGGCCTGTCAGTTGCTTTCTCTGGCTCTTCAGGTCAAGCTAGTGAGCCAGGACCTGAGATCTGCGGCTCCAGGGCTGTTCCTCACACCAAGCCCCTTGGGCTCTGCCTGTTCCTCTGGGCTAGGTCCTGCCCCATCCACCTTGCATGGCTCCTAAGGTGAGGAGAGCCCTGTGGGTGTCTTCACGTCCCAGGGTCCCCTCCCCTGGCTTGGGTTAGGCGCTCTCTTGCTGTGCCCTTGGGGTTTACCAGGAACCTCAGCACCAGTCCCTGTTCCAGAGGAGCTGGTAGTTAGGCTTGTTTCCCTCCTGAGACAAGTAGGTAGGCTTCCTCGAACAGGGCTGAGAGAGAGTGGCAGGCTTGCCAGTTAATGGTTTTAACATGTGTTCACCAAGGATGGATGGTGTCGTAGGTGGCTGAGGGCCCTTTCGAAGCAGGGGGCCCCAGGAAACCCCCCAGTAAATTCAGCCTGAGCAGGGGAGCATGTGCACACATGTGGCCGGGACCTACTGCCCCCACTACTGGTCATTGAGCCCGTATGCACTGCCCTATCCTTCCATAACTGGCCCCGGCAGTGGACACCGGAACCCCCGGTATGGAGGGAGGCACGTGGCCCGTGGGCACCAGCGAGCCCCATCCACGATGGAATTTACTGGGAAGCAGTGGACCCACTCCTATGCTGGACTCCTGCTCTGGGGCCAGCCATGCAGCTCTCCCCACGGGGCAGACGTGCAAAGCTCTAATCTGGGAAGCAGCTGGGACATCCTCACCTACCACCTCTGCATCAGGTGGGGGTGGTACCTGTGGCCCCATCTTAGAACCTTCTGGAGTATGGGTGCAAGGAATGCCCTAGGCCTGGAATGCCTGGCTGCAGGCAGGACATGGCTGGTGGTCCTTCCAGCACAAGCCAGAAGAGGGCAGTGTTGTCTCAGGACAGTGGGGTAGGCCTCACCCCTGCTGGGTGCTGGTATCTACATTACTCCTGGTCAGGGAGGCAGGTGGGCGGCCAGCAGGTTTGTAGGAGAACCCCATTGTCCCAGCTTGCCCTTGTCCCCTTCCTTCCCTGCCATGGGCCTAGACTCCCATTTGTCTCCCTGCCCTGACAATGACCATCCTGAAGCCTGGCTGGTGAGCAGAGGCACCCCTGAGCTGGGTGACAGCAGAACCCTCCCTGGCCACGCTGTCTCCATCACAGGTGTGCTACTCCTGGCCACCCAGGCCGCAGGGTACTCGCCCACCTTGGCATCTCTTGGTCCTTGTGAATGGGAATAGAGCAACTCTGCCCAGTCCTGTTGGCTGCTTGTCCTGAGTCTGTCCGGCATCTATACGTTATAACCTCTAGAGGCAGCCAGTCTGTGCTTAGGGACTTCTCCCCGGCTAGCAGAGGGGCCACGAGTCCCACTTTACCTGCTGTCTGACGCCTTGGTGAACTTTAGAGAATAAGTGTCACCACTGGGGCTTGTTCCCTGCCGCTGGGCCCAGCCCAGACACCTACACACACACACAGACACACACAGACACACACAGAGACACACAGAGACACACACACAGACAGACACACACACCCCCCTTGCTGTTTCCTCAAAGGGATGCTTGATTGTCACAACCAGCCTTATTATGAGCACTTTGTGGTCTCCAGGACATGCCCATGGGGCAGGAGGGCACAGGCCCTGGTAAACCACCTGCCCACACCTTCCATCATGGCCAGGAGCACCCTAACCTGGTTTCCGTGTGCGTAGCTGGGCCCCATTCCCAGACACCCTTCCATGCCTTTTCCATCTGCCTGTGTAGTTTATGCTCCGTGGCTGCACCCTACTCGGTTGATGTCATGACCTGTGGTTTGAACAGCACTAGCCCAGACAGCTGGGTGCTCACGGATGTCATGAGACACTGGTTACCAAAAAAGTGAACTGTAGCATGCGCTGTGCGCGTGACGCCGAGCCTGCCCTCCCCCGCTAGGACCAATGCTCTGATGCCCAGCCCTTGTTCCACATGCTTCCATGGCCACAAGCCCTCGAGGTAGCAGCAACTGTGATCCACCCACCTCCTAGGCAGGGTCCCACATGATCCCCCACCTCTCCGCTTCATACAGAATAGTAATGCTGATTCCCCCAGACACCCAGGAGGCCACCACAACCGCTGCCCTTGTTACTGTGTGCACCAGGGACGGCTGGGACCGGATCCTGGAAGCTGCTGCTGGGGTGTGGTGGGCTGGTAGTCCCCACAGCTTCCTGTCTGCCCAGGCCCTGCAGGAGTGGCTGTCCTATGGCTGGGCTGAATGGGACAAAGATTCCCAGGAAAGCACTTGGGACACCCCCGCTTGGTGGGTCAGCCTATGGCATTGGCAGTGGGGGAGCTGTCCTCAAGGGCTCTGAGTGATGGCCTTTGCCCCTGCTGTCCATACCTGGAGGTTGGCCCTCCGTGGGGGCCTGGTGGGAGCAGGCAGCTGGGAGACCAAAGCTCATCACCTTGCCTGCCAGGGCTGGCCACCCTGGCTGGCAAATGGCAAAGGGGCCAAGTGCCTGCCTTCCCATGTCATTCTGAGGTCTGAAGTGAAGAGAGAGCTTCCTGCCCCTTAGAAATCCCCCTGGCCTGGCCAGGGACACAGCTAGGACCACTTCATGACTGCTCCTGTAGTCATGAATTTGCACATCCATGAGATACCGACCTTCACTGAGCTGCAGCTGAGAGCGATGGCGTCTGCTCAGGGGCTTAAAGTGAAGCCTCAAACTGAGAACAAAGTGGCCTCTCAGAGACACTGCAGCTTCCCCAGAACCCTTCCTGAGCCTCGCAGAGACACTGCAGCTTCCCCAGAACTCTTTCTGAGCTGCTGGTCACTGGCCGAACCGTTTTCGAGGCCTTCTGCTGTGTGGGCCTTGGCTGGTCCCTGCAGTGGGGCTGAGGGAGTTGAGGGGGGCCTGGGGAGGTCTGGGTTGGGCCAGTGGTGGCAGGTAGCCCGGGAAGCTGCCGGGAAGAGCCAGAGGAAGATGGAGCCTCTCTCCCAGCCAGAAGCAGAGCCATCTGAGCACATGTGTGGGTCGAGGCGCCAGTGGACGGCTTGGAGATGTGTAATATCTCCCCAGATGTCTCAGATTATCACGCAGAGTCACTCAAGCAAAGATGGCAGTGTCCCCAGTGGGTGTCCCCAGGCAGCCAGGAAGGAGAGCGAGCCTGCTTTCTCGGCTGAAGCCAAAGTATGACCGAATTCCCCACTGTCAGTTCGCATTCAGAGGACGGATGGAGTGGACTCGGAGGCAGTGGAGGGAGATGATTTATAAAAGCAGTGGCTTCCATCCCTGCATTCCAGAATGGATCGCATCTGAATAACTGATGTGTGTAGAAACTCTGAGGGAGATTTGTTGTGTTTTTTTCTTTTTAAGGCAGAAAAAGATAGGGAACTGAGAGGAGCCCGAAAATAGCCTTCAGCCCCGTGCCTGAGGGCCGCTGGGCAGGACGGAGCTGGCTGGCTGGGTGTATACTTCCTGCTCCAAAAAGCAGATGATTTAAAAAGAACAAAACCCACAACTGGAGTCTTCTAGAATCTGGAAGATAAAGCCAGGCTGGCTGAGGGCATCCCGGCACCCACCACCCCAGGCTCTTTGTTTCATTGACAAGGGTTTGGAGAACTTGGTTGGAGTCTGGGTTACACAGAAGTCTCGTCTGCACCCTTCTAGATGACCCAGCATTTTGTGGGTCCATTTTGTATTCCCGTGGGCTTCCTGGTTGGTTGGTTTTTTTTTTTTAAATAGTTCAGTTTCTGCTTTTCTTTTCCATCAGCACAATCCAGTAAAGCTTTCTTTCTGCCTGGGGGTACTGCTGCAGGTCTCCCCTCGAGGAATCTGTGTCCCTTGTACTCCTAGCTCTGCCCTGCCTGCCCACCCGCCCACCCAGGCCAGGCTTGGATGTCTTAAACCAACAAACCACAAGCCATTCTGCCTTTGTGGAATGTGGGGATCCCAAATGAAAACAAAAACGCGCTGCTTTCCCACGCAGCTCTGCTGCCCACCTCCGCGCGCGTGCTGGCCCCAGAGGACACAGGCTTGCGACAGTGGTGGTGTCCCCATTTTACAGATGGGAAAACTGAGGCCTTGAAGTGCTGGAGCCAGGACAGGAGCGCCCATCATGGGGCTTTGAGTTGCTCACCCCTCTGACTCAGGGCTTTACCAGTGCTCCAAGCCTCACTTTCCTTTGGTTTAGGGCCCAGGTGTGCCCCATGCACAGTAAACCAGCAGGCAGCTGTTGGCACAGACAGCCCATTGCATCATCCACCTCCTAGAGAGCAGGAGATGGAGGGGGGAGCCTGCTCAGGGCCTCTCTCCATTCCATTGTCCTCACACACTGGGCTTGGGAGGACAGCCAGGGCCCTCTCAGCCTTTTCTGGGGGCAGGAGGCAGAAGCCTGTGACTTTGACCCAACACGCAGCTCCCTGTCATGCTGGGGTGGCGGGGGCTCTTCCCCAGCCCTGAGAATCACCTGAGGTATTATCTGGTGCTTTTTGCACTGTTGACACTGTTTCTGGGCTTTTGCAATCAGAAAAAGACGGGAGATTACCAGGTACCCAGTTGGGGACTTTGGATTCTAGCAATGTGTCTAAGAATCCGGACACTCCACTGTCCCTTCAAGCATTTGAGTCTGTGAGGTGGCTGTTGCCACTGGTCGTGCTATGTTACACAGGGTCAGGGTCCCCCACTTTGTCCCTTAGGAGAGTGTCCCCAAAGACAGGCACACAGGCTGCTTCTGGGGGGTTTTGTTGGGCAACTGTTTTTACCAGAGGAGAGGCCTGATGGAGGGAGCCACGCCCTGCCCTATGGCACAGATCAGCCAGAATCTGTGTGGCTACAGGTTGCCCCCCACAGGAGATCAGGGATGAAGCCAGACCCCAGCAGAGTGGGGCCTGGCCAGTCCAAGAGGGCAGTTCACACCACCTGGGTACCACCTGGCTCTGATCTCCGGGCCCTGAAGCTATAGTGGGAGCCTGTACCCAAGGCTGGACCCGTGACTCAGCCAATTCTGTCACATTCAGCATCATGACCCTATGGAGGAGCTGGACAGGCTGGTGGGGTCCTGCTCTTTGCTGCCAGCAGCAAGGGGGACAGGATGGAAAGGGGGCCCCCTCCTGTGCACCATCCAACTTTGTCAGGTTCCACCCCTGTCTGCTAGTGTGACCCTGTGTGGGGGTGCTGCTTCGGGTTATCCTGGGAGCTGGGCCTGGACCCAGCAGCCCTTCCCACATCATGTCCACCTGGGATATGAGCAGGACTGGCTTCTTATCCGCCCTTGACCAGAAAGGGCCCTGAGGCCCTTAGCACAGCAGGGACCAATCATGCTCCTTCCCGCTGCAGCAGGGGCCCTGTTCACGGGGCATCAGGGACAGTTCCAGCTGCTGTCCTCCTGACTCAGCAGGCCTACCCTTCCACCTGGCCCCTCCTGTCTACCCAGCCACACACATGCCCTGAATTCCATACCCTGTCTTGTGTTCTGCTTGTCCCTATCTGTCACCTGGACACGTAGGGGGCCCCACAGACAGGGAGAGGGGGGTCAGGCAGCAACAGCAGCCTGGGTCCTGGGACAAGGTGGCTGTCGGCCCCAGGAAAACCCTGCTGGACATGAAGCCATCTTTCGACAATCCTTCCCTTCCCACCACTCAGGCTCTGGCTGGGCAAATCTGTCCCATCCCTGCGTGAGGAGGGACAGCGTGGGGTGCCTCCCCCCAGCCAGGGGCCTTGCAGCTGCCAGCAGAGTTTCTACTCAGGTGCCCACTCCCGAGGCATCTCCCCTGTGGGCAGTGCCTCAGCCCTGCTGAGTGCAGGTGGACCTGGGAGAGGGTGCAGGGATGCCTGGATGGAGACCAGATGCTGGTGATCTGGGGACATTGCTGTGTTGGCTTAGTTCTCCAAGTGAGGCCTCAGAACTGGGCCTATGAAAGCCAGGCCCTGAGGAACAGGGGTCCCTGCCCCAGTCCCCTCAGCCTTCCCTGTGTAGGCTGAGCCTATACCCCTTTCTTGCTGGGGACAGAAGTCTCGCAGGATGGCTCTGGGCTGTCTAGGCTGCTTTGCTGCTCACGCACTCGTGGGAGACACCCGGGTAGGAGCTGCCTACAGTGGCTCCATCACGAGAGGGGTGCTGCAGCACCCTGCCCATCCAGGGCAGAGTGTGGGAAGGGAGGGCGCCTGGGTACCCCCCACCCATCCAGGGCAGAGTGTGGGGAGGGAGGACGCCTGGGTGCCCCCCACCCATCCAGGGCAGAGTGTGGGGAGGGAGGGCACCTGGGTGCCCCCCACCCATCCAGGGCAGAGTGTGGGGAGGGAGAGCGCTGGGTGCCCCTGCCCATCCAGGGCAGAGTGGGGAGGGAGAGCGCTGGGTGTCCCTGCTCATGTCCTCCTCTCCCCACAGCCTCTTTGACATGGGCGGTGAGTATTACTGCTTTGCTTCTGACATCACCTGCTCCTTTCCTGCCAATGGCAAGTTCACCGCAGACCAGAAGGCCATCTATGAGGCAGTGCTGCGCAGCTGCCGGGCCGTCATGAGCGCCATGAAGCCAGGTGAGCACCAGGACAGGTGGGGCCTCGTGGGAGGCATGGGAGGCAGCTATGTGGCAGGCAACCCCTGACCCTGAAATGGACCCTGCATTCTGTGGCTTGAAACTACCTGCCTCTTGCTGGGCCAGTAAGATTGCCAGATGTTGTCAGGTCTCCAGGGTCACTCCTGGGAAACAGGCTGATTACTGCACATTCCCGCCCCCACTGGGCAGTGGAACATCGGTGTGTCCTTGTCCTGAAGCAGAGTCCTCTCCGGGGAGGGCTCGGTGTGCTCCAGACGCTGGCATCTGCTTAGACATTGGATCAGGTTCAAGCCCCGCTGGGTGCTCTGTGACCTTGGCTGGGAAGCTCTTCCTCTGGGTGGCTGTTTGCTCATCTGTAATTGGGAAGGTGGCGCTTGTGAAGATGAGTTAGGCTGTGTGAAGCGCCCACAGGGCCACCTGCACACAGCGTTGCTCTGCTGTGGCCACAGTTGCTGCCCAGGCCCGGGGCTTCTGTCTCCACACAGCCAACCCTAGGCCTGCCCCCATCCCAGCCTTCACTGTACGGTCTCCCCAGGACTCTCCAGACCCTGGGCAGCCTACACACGCCCCCCTGGTGTGCCCTTGGTGGTTGGGTTCCAGCAGGATGGACAGAAGTCCTTGGGAGGGAGCCAGCATCTCCCCCACTCCCTAGCAATGCTAGCTATGGTTCCTTCTGGGAGCTTCCTGCTGCCCCCGTTCCTCCTACCTGGTGAGCCCTGAGGCCTCTGTGGCCCTGGGAGGGTGGGACCTAGCACCTGCAGGACCAGCCCCCAGCTCTGGTGTTTGGTTGGCCCTTTCTGCCTCCCAGGGACAGGAGGACCCTGACTTGTCACCTTTCCCTGGAGGGGAGAATTGAGGGATGTGGCCTTGTGTTTACACTTCAGACCTCCAGGGCTTCAGTCTTTGGATTCCCTAGCCCTGGCCCCCTAGCCAGTGGCCATCTGTGGACATGCAGGCTCCTGAGTCATCACTAAGGTCTGTTTGCCACCTGGCTGTGATCTGGAGTGTGGATGGGTTTTCCCTGCCTCCTGCTCCGTCCTGGCCTGATCAGTCCCCCACACGCACCGGGTGCCTGGGGGTCTGCACCTTTGATTGGAGGCAATAGAGTGGTCTCCAGCCAAGTTAGGTTATTTGGTGCCCCCACAAATTCAGAAGTGAGTAAAGCCTGTCTGGGGTGAGGCTGGAGCTAGGGCAGCTGGGAATCGGTGGGTGTGAGTGAGCACCAGCCTCCTCTTCAGCCAGGGTCCTTCCTCAAGGGTCAAGGTCAGAGAACACTTCATGTTGGCAGGGCTCTGGTCACAGCCCAGCCCACAGGCCCCTGCAGCCTCCTGCCCTCACTCAGCATCACCCACCCCCGGCTGTGCAGGTGTCCTGAGAGGCAGGTGGGCTTCCTCCAGTGTGGGGGAACCCCAGGCATCCTCCACCAGCCCCAGGAGGGCTGCACACACTGGAGCCCCTATGGAGCACAGGGTCAGGGTAGGGCGTGCAGGCCCCAAACAGAGAGGCCTGGCCCAGCCTGGTCTGCCCCCTGCAGAGTCAACTTGGGGTGAGTTTGGCCAACTCTGCACGCTGGCCTCTGGTCAGGCGTCCAAGGGCCATTTGTTAAGGGCCAGCAGAGAGCTGATGGCAGCCGAGCCATCCCGTCTTCAGTGTTCAGGGAAAGAAACAGATCCTGGGCCTAGAACTGTAAACGTGCCAGGATGTGGCTTCTTGCGGGCCCAGAACTTGATGGCTCAGCAACTGGCCAAACAGTCCCCTGTGGCCCCATGGCCAGTTATTGGGATGAGTTACAGCCATAGTCACTGGGCCAGGGGAGTCTCGGCAACTGTCGCTTTCAGAGGAGGTGAAGGGTGGGCAGGCTGTCCAGATGGCCCCCAGTCCAGCCCCAAGACCCCTTGCCAGAGGCTGAGGAGCCAGGGAGGGAAGCTGCGTCCACCCCCACCCCCCAGTCTCACACCCACCCTCAGTTGACCAACAGGATCAGAGCTTGATAGCAAATGAGTCCAGGCACAGGGGACTCAGATACGCCCCAAAATGAAGATGGAAAAGTAAATAAGGTCATGGTGGTTTAGCAGCATTGATTGGACTCGCCTAGTTTAGCAGCTGCAAAAGCAAACAGCATCTTAGACTGAATGGTTTGCTTAAGAATCAACACCTGCCTCTAAGTATTCAGACAGGGAAACCCAGGACAGACAGCTAAAGGGGACAAAAAAGTGTCCCTCGAGTGCGAAGGGCAGTAAGAGAGTGGGATCTGTGAGCTCTGAGGTCCACCAAGGGGGTGCAGGGAGGGATGGGGAGAGGGCTTGCCCAGTTCCCCTGTGTTTTTTGTTTTTGTTTTGAGATAGTGTGCCCCCGGAGTGGGATCACAGCTCACAGAAACCTTAAACTCCTGGGCTCAAGCAATCCTCCTACCTCAGCCTCCCGAGTATCTGGGACTACAGTGCCCACCACAGTGCCCAGCTAGTTTTTCTGTTTTTCAGTAGAGAAGGGGTCTCAAACTTCTGAGCTCAAGCAACCTACAGGCCTTGGCCTCCAGAGTGCTAGGGTTACAGGCACGAGCCACCACATCGTGTCCACTCATGTTCTTTTTGACCTTTAAATCTGGGAGTACACCACCTGTAAGCTGTGAGATCCAGCTTCCTGAGGAAGGGTGCATCTCCTCCTTTACTATATACTAGGGTGAGAATTTGTCGTTTGGTTTGAATGCCATCAGTCATTTAGTGGGGCAGTGACTCAGACCCAGCCAGCCCTGGTGGGAGTCATGCCACAAGTTTATAAGCACAGCTTCTCTGCCAGGGGCCCTCCACTGGGCACAGCCTCAGAGGGTGGGCTAGCCTCACCATGCTCCCTGCTGGAGCTGTGCTGGGGAGGGGGGGGGTTCTGTCACTGTGCAGGCTGAGCAGACCATGTCCCCTTTACCATCAGACATCCACAAGCAGTTGTGAAATATGGATGTCCAGGAGTCAGAGCCCCAGGCTGGACGGGTTGATGCCCCTAGCAGTGGAAGCCGAGCTCGGCTGCCAGTGAGGGGCCAGGATCCCAACCTGGACCCAAGCCCATGTCAGGCCATGGGAGAGATGGATGGAGGATTGGAGGCAGGGCGAGAGGGGGTGGTTGGCGGGACATGCAGGGCATGGGGTTTGGAAAGATGTTGTCCCTTTACCCTGGCCCTGTGCTGAGACTAGGGGATGGCTGAGCCTGGGCTGGGTCCCACCTGCCCCCGCCCACAGGAAGGCCTACTGGGGCCCCACCACAGTTGGTGTCCTGACCAGGGCACACCTGGCACCTAAGGAAGGTGCAGGGCTAGGTCCCAGCACTCACCTGCTCTCCTGTCCTATAGGGTGCCCTGGCCGGGCCTGACTTTGGGGCAGACACAAGGCCTCAGGCCTCCCAAGTGTGGCTGAGGCGACCGAGTCATGCCCCACAGAGCTGATCTCCACAGAGCCTGTGAGGCAGGTCCTCCCACAGGCTCTGCTGTACACATGGGGCTTTTCTGCCCAGCACCGACCAAGCCCTCAATGGGGTCCTGAGCCCTTGTGTGAGGGGATAGAGCAAACCCCCAGCAGGACCCATTCTCGACAGTGGGACGCATGGCAGAGCCAGAGCCCATCTGGGTGACACAGTTTGGTAGGCCTGTGCCACAGAACTGCTGTGCACGTGGGGGTGGGTCGCCTCTCCATAGCATCAAGGAGGCCATGGCCAGGTCACTCGCTGCCCTGTCCCAGCAGAAGTGCCCCTGGTTTGTGGGTTCAGCTCCTGGGCCAAGATAAACACCCCACCGAGACTGCCCGACTGCTTCCTGTGACCTTCCAGGGAAGAGTAAATAAAGACAAGCAGGAAGTCACACAGCGATGCCCAGAGGAGAGGCAGAAGTGAACCATCAGAATGTACGCGGGTCCCGGCACATGTGACCCCAGGGGGGCTGAGGAATGCAGGCCTGGGCCCTCATCCTGGGGCCAGAGGAGGGAGGGCCGAGCTTGTACAGGCAGGGGACACTGGCGGTCAGGAGTCCATGTAAGTGTGGCCAGGCCAGGCGCCGCTGTAGCACCCAGGAGGATACAGCCCACAGGAGACTGGGGTGGTAGCTCACTGAGGCTTCTGCTGCAAAGCAGCCTGCCCTATCTCAGGGGCCCCCAGCTGTCTTGAGGGGACAAGAGAGGACAGGACACTGGGGAGGGCCGTGATGCCACCCCTGTGAACAGCACAGCGGCACTGGTCCCGTAGCCCTGCTGGACCTCCAGGCACCAGGGGTCCCAGTCGGACCTCAGCACTAGGTCATAGGGTTGTCACCTATGGGAATCTTGCAGTCTGATCCAGCTCCCAGCACACCATGCGTCTCCCTGCCCCTCCTTGGCTCCCACCCACCTGGCTTCCCTTGCCCTGTGCTGCTGCTGCCCCTCACTGCCACTCTTGCCTCTGTCCTGCACTCTCCCAGGCCTCCCCATGGCCGCGAGCACTATGGCCCTGCCCCCATCATGGTCTGCACAGGCAGCTGTGTTCCACGCTAGAAGATGACATTGCCATCACTCCATGCACGACCCCCTCCCTCCAGCTCCTGGCTCCGTCCCTGGCCCCTGCTGATGGGAAGTCAGAGGAGGGGCTGTCAGTGACAGAAAGTACCGCCATCCCCAGAACGGGCAGATCTGTGGGATAAATAGACAGGAGAGGACACAGGAGCTCCAACTCCAGATGACTGGCTTGTGTCTCCTGTAGCCCAGCGGCACCTTTGCCAGCTCTGTTCCCCTCTCAGCTGGGGCCAGGGCCACGAGGCTAGACTTCCCATCAGACTTCCTCCTCAGAGGTGGCATGGACACAGGTGGGAGACACCACGGTGGAGGGGACCCGGCAGCAGCCTGCCCCACAGGCACCTTCCCTGTCAGGGGCCAGGATGGTGCAGATGCTCTGGCATGGGCACAGCACCTTCCCCTCCTGCAAGGGTGTGATGGTGTGCTGGTTCCCGGTGTACTCCCTGAGAGCTCTCTGCCAGGGCATGGGGGGAGGGACCCTGAGGAGTGTGCTCCAAGCAGTCAGCTGGGCCACACCACCCCCTGCTCTTGGGCAGGGTGAGAGGATCCCCAGACATTCTGGTACTAGATGGGGTCTACCCACACCAGTGCAGGGCCATGTGAGCTGGAGGCCTCCAGTCCTCCTTGGGGCTGGCTCACGGGTGGTGCATTCCTGGAGGGCCATGACTGTGTGTGTGAAAGTGGCCCTGATGATGCAACACGCAAGGCCCATTGCTGTCTTCCCCTCTGGCTCTGGCCTGAGAACCCCCTGGGACTATCGTGCTCTGGCCAGGAGACTTCAAGGGTGTGATGGCTGCTGCTGAGGCTCTGAGGGGCTGCCCTACCCAGTATGCCAGGCCAGCAGGAGAGGGTACTGCCTAGGAGGCCCAGATGGGCTCCTCGGGACACCTTTAGGGCCTGGGCACCAGGAGGCTAGTGTTTCTCTGAGCCTAGTAGTTTCATGTGGGAGGTACTAACCCAAAGGCTCCCCTGTCTTCTCTGGGTCTGAGCACACAGAGGGCGGCTGGGGGCACGGCAGTGACCATGAGTGAGCCGTGAAGGAGGCCAGGGTTCTGCACATTTATCAAGCACCCTCCATGTGCCAGGCCTGGAGCAGAGCCCAATTGTGCCACTGTGCCCTTCCATGCCCCACCATGGAGGGCAAGTTCTAGAAGCTGGGGAAGGAGCAGTCTGAGGGATTCCTGGAGGAGGAACCTCAACACAGGCCCACGGGAGGGGTGGCCCCAGCTAAGGAAAAGAGGTAGGAACACCAGCTTTCAGGACCAGTGGCTTGGTCAGGCCACCCCATCCCACACTGGGTGAGGGATGAGGCCAGAAACCAGGCCAGTCTGAGGACCTGGGCTTTTCCCTGGTCTGCCCCATTCTGAAGAGATGTCCCTGGCATCCCAGCAGTGCAAGGATCCAGGACAGGGGAGGAGGCTGGCAGGGCTCCAGGAGATAGGTTTCTGGGGAACCAGGACAAGATTTGGGGTTTGCTGGTGGCAGGAGAGAGTGCAGGGCAGCTGACAATGGCCTGTGCCGTGTACATCCCAGTGTGGCCTGGCTTGGGGGCCAGTGGTACCTTCTGGCTGGGACCAAAGGGCTCTGCAATGTCCTAGGCAGCCAGGGTGGGCAAGCCTGGAACTCAGGGCGGGCCCAGGCTGGCGGGGAGGCCCCAGAGTGTGTGCCCACCCCGCCAGTCTAGCCCATGGACAGTAACCTTCACATACTGCGGGGGCCCCCGCCCAGGCCGTGGGTGTCGTAACCACCATCCGGGCCAGACACTGGGGCCAAGTTGCTAGAAGTTTAATCACTGTCACAACCCTAACCACACACAGGCAGAAACTCCCTGCTCCCAGCCAAGAGAGCTGTGTGCAAGGCCTTCCCTGAGGGTGCACGGGCGAGGAAGACCAGCGGCGCCATGGGGGCCGCCTGGGCCGGCACATCCTGGCAAGCGCCATGCCGGCCCCCATGAGGGGCCACCACGGAGCATGATTTATACCTGATTCCCACCCTCCCCTGAGGCCAAGCCAAGACCGCAGCCCCATGATTGGAGTTAGCCAGGTTGGAAGGAGGCTGCATTTCCTGGGGCTCCCCTTTAGCGGCCGGGAAGGGCCTCCATCCAAGAGAAATGGGCTGAGGTAGGGTCGGGGTATGAGCCACAGCGCAGGAGGCCTCTGGGCCTCACATGCCATGCTGCCAGCAGCCACCTCTGCTGACTATTTGGGGGCCATTTGGGACCCAAGCCTCAGGAGAACTGAGGGGCACTTACCCTGTGCTAGGCCCAGTGGGCACCCTCAGGAAATTGCTCCTCTAGTGGGGTCATGCAAGGGCGATTGCAGCAGTTTCTGTCTGGGAGACAGTTTCAGGCTGAAAAGTGCAAGGACAGAGTGATCTGGACAGTGGGGAGAGTGATAGCAAGGGCTTTCTCAGGAGGTGCTGACTTCTGTGCTGGGACTACAGGTGAGGTGTCACAGGCCCAGGCTGGCACAGCAGCTGCAAACAGCCAGCCTGGAAAGCCCCCAGGTGTTTCTGGGACAGGGGGGCTGGGCCTCTGGAGGATGCTGTGGAGCAAGGCAGGGGGTGGGGGTGGTGGGGG